AAAATGAAATTCTGATGGTATTGTAATTTGAAGACTTGGAAAAAGGAAAATTTACATGGTACGTCACTAAACATGAAGACATGACAGCGATATTAGAAAAGATCTGTCTAGATACTGAAGCAAATAAAACACTTTGAAATTAAACTAATTTCATTTAATGTGTGCATAAATTTGATGGCCAATACATTCTGGCTGCACATATGTTGATACAAATAGATTGAACTAGTATACAAGTGGACATCTTGATTCAGTATTTTGGTGAATGACACAATGGAACGCAAAGAGAATGGTACTAGATTTGAGGGTTGGTAGACATTACTTGACTAAGTTTTTTTGCTAGGACTGATCATCATCTAGTAGTAGGCGATTTCATACTGCCCGTAACATTGTATTAGTTAAATGTTATCGACCATGCTGCATAGTAGTCACTAGATTGTATTTTCTTATTATAGTATAGCCTGACTGTCTGAAAAGATGATTCGAGTCAGTCAGCAGGATACCCAATTCGGTATATATTTCTGTCTAGTTATCTTTTGTTGACATAATCTACAAATCGTTCTAATGAATTCAATGAAACCTATGAAATTCTAACTAGGGCAACTCAATCCTGTCAAACAGTCGTGTTTAGTAGTAAATGAATTATAGATATCCTAAATATGATGGCTACTTTTTGTAAACAATACTTTCTTTTTCGATGATACTCCGTAATCAAAACTGTACTGTCTTAGTTGCAAAATACACCAGTCTATTAAAAAAAATTAAACAAAAGTATTCATCATAGAAATTCTTTTAGTAATCGACAATTGAAGCATTGATTATTCAGATAAAGTAAAAATATGAAAACACATAATAATTATCCGTTTGACTAAAAGTGAGAAGAGAAAAAAATTCCAAGTTAAAAAACGTGACGGTAGTAACAACTAATAATTAAAGCTCAGACAGATGTGATCATGTCCATTACCGGTAATAAAATCTAAGGCTACAGAAGAATGATAGCTTTCACTTATCTATTTGGCACACGGAGTTCAGGTTTCAAAATAATCGTTTACTAATACATCTATGTAGTGTGATCATGTCGAATCACATCGTCTGACCACTGTATAGATGAATTAAAATGGACTATTAAATAGAGTCATGTGACTGGAGAGTTCACAAAAGCTTCTAATTATGAACAGTTGATGGACATACATTCCTCTCACCCTCTCCTTGGAATCTGGATGATGTTCAGAGAAGAGTCTAGAAAGTACTCGCTTTGTGAGGCCTTCAGTCACACAAAAACAAATGTTTTGTTTTTTTCTCTATGATAAAAGTTGAATTTTTCAATGAACTTTAGGTTTTTATGAATTTGAAACAAAACTAACTATTATTAACTAAGATTGTATTATATATTTTCTCAATAATTTACAGCATAGGATTCATTTACTTCATAATTCTCATGGAATATTATACTGTACCAAATACACTAAAGAATTATTCAGGTTTATCCAATGATTTTCTATAGACAGAAAAATATAATCTGTAAAGAAAAGATGATGTTATCAAAAGACTTTATTTTAAAATTCATTACTCTTTTACAAAAGACTTTAAATTCATTATAGAGAGTTGTGGAGATCGTTGAGTTATAGTGAATTCATGAATCAATCAATGTGAGACTATCATTAGGATGCGCAATCCTGTGGATTGATTGATGTTAGTGATTAACACCGCTGGGTTCCTGTTATGCTCGTCACTTGATATGCTTGCAACTATGACGAGTTCACCTTAGTCGATAAAAGAGGAAGAGACACTGACCCATTGACACTCTAATCCGTCACCCCAAAAGATCTGACGAAAAAGTTTTGATATAGCGTAGAAAGTGTATTCTACAATCATCCAGCAAACACAATGAATTCAAGCACACAAATCGCGTTTATTTATACATCATAGAAACGTCCTTGGGAGAGTCACAAAAATAGCATACTAAAATGACACATCAACCAATCACAGCCAAGAATTTTACTGGTGGGAAATTTGATCCCAAGGTTAACTGATCAGCCCATGGATAAAATCCAAATTAAGACATTTATCAAGTGAGTTCTGGGGATCTAATGTCCCCAACAATGACAGGCCATTGGTCTAGTGGTTAAGCATTACAGTGCGAGAACGTAGTTCCTGTGTTCGAATCCCGTGTGCGGGGATCGTGGAGACTCGATACGAATGAGTCGCATTCGAGGACAAACTGTCATCCAGTGCTTTCAGATTTTTAATGGTAGTCTAACATTGATTGATTCCTAATTTCAATGAAACTTTATATGTGAATAAAAGTCCGATTTTACTTACTTACTTACTTACGCCTGTTACCCCCAATGGAGCATAGGCCACCCACCAGTTTTCTCCAACCAACTCTGTCCTGGGCTTCCCCTTCCAATGCTGTATATTTTTTGGTCATTCTTCTCATATCTTTCTCTATTTCTCGGCGTAATGTATTCCTTGGTCGTCCTCTTTTCCTTTTGCCTTGAGGGTTCCATTTGAGGTGTTGTCTTGTGACGCAGTAAGGTGCTTTTCGTAGTTTGTGTCCTATCCACTTCCACCGCTTCTTCCTGATTTCCTCATCCACTGGAATCTGGTTTGTTCAATTCAGCAGGCAGTTGTTGCTGATAGTGTCTGGCCAACGAATCCGAAGTTTTTTGCGAAGAAAACTGTTAATAAATACTTGTATCTTCTGGATGATGACTTTCGTAGTTCTCCAAGTTTCCGCTCCATGCAGTCGGATTTTATTATATATATTATATATATATATATATATATATATATATATATATATATTACAACTAGTATAGGAATGATAACGAATGAGTAGTGGATATTATTTTGAAGAATTATTGAGGAGCTTTCAATTATTAAACAACATGTGTCTTAGTTGTATAGTTATCAACTGGAAGTCAATTCGTGCGTTTAACTATGCATTAGATTTGACCATATATCAAAATTATCTTACATTTAACTTGTTTTTAGTTTTAATATAAAGCTTAGCGCATATGCATATGTCACTGTCTAATCACTTAAAGTTTGAGATAAAAATTTTTTTTGAAACTTAAGATAAGATCAGATAAGTTGTCAAACTTTGTCAGTTTCTTTTATTTCTCAATAACTGTTTCGGTTTGAGACAGAAGTAAGTAATGAATCTTTACAAACTATTTTAAACAACAATCTAGTATTCATTTAATATAGTGGGTTAGAGAAATTGTTGAATTTTGTGATAGTAAATTCCGAACTTTGTTCAGTCACTCAACATAGTAAATTATAATTGAATTTAGAAAATCAATCCATTTGGAGTTCAAGGTTAAGCCCTTGAGGCAATGTCTAAAGGTCTTGAGATGGTATACTAATCATACACTGGGTACATTACACGGAGGGCTATGATACTAAAGTAAAACAGCTGTTCAGTGTTTCTTGGGCTTAAGTGATTGTTTAGCTAAAATGATTGTTAAATGTAAAACTTTAAAATATTATTCCATACATTTTATAAATGTTTATCTATTTCAGTATGAGCTAATTAGTAAGTAGTTTGCAAAAATTACTATGCAGCATTTAAAAGCAAGTATACATGAAGGAATATCTGAGTAAATTATGGGAAACACGGTGCAGCTTATCTATTAAACCACTGGATCGATAAACCTCAAAATGTATGGTAGCATGATGAAATATCTCTCAAACGTTTCGCAAATAAAACATTTTCAAATTCATGTCAAGCATATCTTATTAGTATTCTACCAGACTGTATAGTCAATAATGGCCATTCGACTGTGATACAACGAAATTATGAGTCGATCAATGTTAGACCGCCGTAAGAAATCTGGAAGCACTGAAAGACCTTTTCTTCCCAGTATGGTACTCATCAGCAGTGCGCATCCACGACCCCGCTGGCGGGAATCGAACTTAGGACATTCGGTCCCAGGCGCGAACTCTTCACCTCTAGTCGTCTGAGCCACTATCCAACTGTGCTAATGTATAACTTTAATCAATTCTTAGGATTTCCTGACCTTACCCACTGTCCTCAGTGGATAGCTGCATCACACATGAGAGGAGTCAACTAAACTATTCACCACTTCTCACTAGAAATTTGAAAATTCTGATATTAAAAAACTGAGGTCTGTATCAGGAATTTTTAAACCGTGCTACATGGATTCTTTGAAACTAACTTTAATTCATACCAGCCAACTACTGTCTTATTTTATAGTACTGTTGATGAAAGTGCGATAATTATAAGCTAAATACATATTTTTATCCCGTTAAGAACATACTGCGTTTGTTGAATATTCTACACAACAATTCTAAATTAAGCAACTATCTTTTCTCGATTATTGAATATCGTATTTCTTCACAATGGTAACTTTCTTCTTATTTCCAGATTGATTGAAAAGGTAACATTACAGGAGTAAAACTGTTACTCTACCAACTTTGGCAACTAATTATTTATGTACCGCATAGATTATTAAATTTGTGAGTGGGATGGGATACTGCTTGAGTCTATTAACCCCTAGCCTTTGACCCGAAAGTCTAGTAGAGTAGCGTCAGATGTAGTCTCAAGGGAGACAGTCATTAATAATAGGTTTATACGTTATTCGTTTCATCAGGACTCTGGAACACAAATGAACCAGTGATATCGGTTTCGAATCATAGTTTTCTAAATGCTGTGGATGGATCCTCCGTATGGTTTAAGCACCAGACCATCGGCTTTTTGTCCTCTAAATTTCAAAATCAACATCTGTGCTAAGAGAAGGCAGTGGGTAGGTCTTACCTGACAGTGGCAATATCATGTGTGACTATTCAAACACGTAGGTAAGAATTCTCATCACTCACGACCGTACCAGGGCATCTGAGGGCAAAGCATAGTAACGAACCGAACCATGTTTTTAAGATTCTCTACAACAATGTTTAACTAATAAGGTCTTATACTACTGAAGTAATTCATACCTTAAATAATTTTCCTTAAAAAAATTTTCTTCATTAAATTTCAGTGCAGATGATTATAAAACAGATTATATGCAAAGTAAAGCAATGGTACAATCGAATGGTAATGTATTTTGGCCACCACCAGCGAAATTACGATCAACTTGTAAAATTGACATAACTTATTTTCCATTTGATGATCAGTCATGTACCATGAAATTTGGTTCATGGACATATGATGGTTGGCAAGTGAATGTTATTAAAAGGTTAGTTATTGTGATATCGAAGTTTATCTATTTCGCTTACTTACTTGCCTAAACCTGTTATCTCCTATGCAGTATAGGCAGCTGACCAGATTTCTCTATCCTACTCTGTCCTCGGTCTTCATTTCTAGTTGCAACGAATGGTGTTCATTCTTCTCATGTCTGTCTTCGTTTCTCAGAATAATTTCTTCCTTGCTTTTCCTCTTTTCCGTTGACCTTGAGGGCTTGTCTTGTGACGCAGTGAGATGCTTTCCTCAATGTGTGTACTATTCTATTCCAGCGCTTCTTCGTGTGTATGGATTTAAAGAGATTTACATAAACTAGTCAGGTTAACAAATTAAGATATTTATTGAAGTATAACAAACTTATTACATAATAATAGTAATAATATTACTATTAATAATGGAATATACAAAGTTGAATGCAGAAGTATTTTTCAAAATTCACATATAAGATGTGCAATTTAGGGCAAATAGAATGATCACAAATAAATGAAACATGAATTTAGGATATTCGTCAAATTGAAAAATGATTTTTTGCTTCAATTTAAATAAATTGGTAGAGCTAGCATGATTAGCAGGAGTTGAGATATATAAACAAGGACACATTGGGCTCTCACGTGCCTGCCTAACCTGTAGACCCCTAAGCCGAAATCCAACGGAGTTAATGTCTAACTTTGACCAATCTAAGGTTTGCACGGCATCACCCATTTTCTTCGGTAGCTAATGCCGACACCTGACAGGATTAAGTCCCCCTAATTACGTATATCACTAGGACCCCAAGAATTTGTTCACGAAGCTAGTCACCAATAAGCAAAGGCAGATATTAACATCTCTAGGTGCCGGCATAGTGATCTAGAGATTAGGCGTTCACGTGCTAGCGTAGTGGATGCACACTGTTGATGAGTCCCATACCAGAACAAAACGTCTGTACAGTGTTTCCAGGTTTCTAATAGTGTTCTAACAATGGTTGATTCGTGATTTCAATCAAAGTTACCAGAAGTTACCAAAGCTGCCAGAAATCGGTAGGAAAAACTAACTTTTTGAAATATGTAACACAACTATTCACGATACTAGTTGTAAGATTGATTTTGAAGGCTTTGTTTGTGAAAATCCCTCCATGTATACATTTGTAATATGTCCTTGTTGATTCCTTCAGTTTTACATTTTGTAACTCTGTTCAATTCCACTTTGAGATTTTTATTTTATTTTATTTTATTATAGTTTCTATTTCTTTTTCTGCCTTTACTGAGTTTCTATGTTTCTTTCTGAACTGCATTTATACTGTTTAAGCTAATAGTTAATTATAGCGACAGCCATATTGATTTGTTCCTCTTTTGATTGTTTTGCTTGCTTTGACTGGAATTATGCATTTTGATTGTGAATTGGAGCACTCTTCCAGAACTTTAAACACTCTGTGTTGTTTAACAACCAAGTATCATCGGTCAAACGAATCAGATCTATCTAGGAAGGATAGAATAACTTTGATTTGTATTAATTATTTGAACAAGTGAACTATCATTCAAGGAATAACTAATCGGTAATATTTGTTTAGGACCGTTATTTACTCAGAAATCTTGTTTTGGATTTCAACTAGGCAACACCCATGTCTAAAATTTCTTCAGAGTTAGTCCTCAGTTCAAACCTCAGTTTGGAACTAACACTAGCACTGTACCATGAAATCACATTTACATATATATATATATATATATATATATATATCCTACACATATTAAGTCAAAAGATGGTTGGCAACAGATAGATTATTTTTAGAATATTTATTTATAAACATCAACAGTCGAATTTTATTTTATGGTATATATATATATATCAGTCAAAATTTATGATTTATTGAATAATTCTAAAATTTGAAATTGTAGTAAATTGATAAAATCAGCAAAATAAATCAAATTGATGTTGAACGAATTAATCTGTTGTGTTTTTTTTTATCGATTCACGTCTACAATGAAAATAAATTCTCCAGAATATTGTCATGGACTATGCTAAAACTGTCTATATTCTTCTCTCTGGTACTAAAGATTGAAATGATTCACTCATTGATTGTAACTCCGATTATGAACATCTATACTTCCATGCTAAGCTATTCACATATTGATTCTAGAGTAGAATAAATCATAAATCAAGTCTTCTGCTACTCTCCTCTATTTGAAATGATTGTGACTAGATAACAATAATAAAGTAATTCGCAATGGACGCATATATTATGCTGGTGTTTTGTTCTCTGAGCTGGATATTTTGTTTGTGGAGCTTTCATTGTTCTTCTAAACAATATTCTTAGCACAAACTTCAGATAGAAGTCATAAAGGACTGATCAACTTTAGTCTTTAACACAAGCGGAAAGATCTAAACGAGACTTGTAAATGATTTAAATTCCAATATGTTTAGATAGAAACCCAATCGGATATGTTTACACTTGAGCAAATATTTTTTTCCTGACTATTTTCTCAAATGCATTAATGATAAGCACCATGTAATATTAGTCTAAATATTATTTTGAGCAGAAATTTAATAATAACTTCCAGAAAACATGCGTGAGGATGAATTTCTAGTCAGTTTTCGTTTAAAATTTGAATGTCCCGCAATCATTGTCCATCATAAATTCAAATGTTTTGGTTTGAACGAAATCAAGTAATCGAAATAATGTCTACTTCATCTAACTGATGGAAATACAAAAAGTGTATTTATTGTCGTTGTCGGGGACGTTAGATTCCCGGAACTCACTTGGAAAAGGTCCAATTTTTGGGCGTTTTTACGTTGCTTAGTTGACCTTGAGATTACACTTCCAACTCGGAGAATCCTTGACTATCATTGGTTGATGGATTATTTTAGTACGCTATTTTTTCTGGCTCTTTCAAAGGCGTTTCTGTCATTGTATAAATAAGCTCGATTTGTGTGCTTATCGACCTCATATTTTCTGGGTGCTTGTAGAATACACTTTCTACCCCTCATCAAGACTTCTTGACATCGATGGCCTGTCCGGGGACAAACGGATTAGAATAGCCTATCGTGTCACTGCACTGATTGTCTTCACCCCGTTTACCGAGTAAGATGAACTTGTAATAGTTTCAAGCATATCAGTCGTATAATAAAATTACGTTATTCTCAGCTTCCAGTAATCAGATAAATGTTTATTTTCAAATTACAAGTCTTTGACTAATCACTTGAGTAAAACCATTTACAAATTCTTTTTAGTAAGTAACTTGAATCAAAAATGAAACAAAATGTGATTTAAAATGATAATATAAGCTTTGAAAGTCTAGTACTAATAATCAAGGTACTATTTTTATGAGTGAGATCTTCATTTACTGATACTCCAACCGGTAAATAACTTTATTCTTTAAGAAGAAGTGCAAGTTTTGTTCAGCTAGCATAGTTTAATTAAGTTTGTATTTGTTTTTATTCAATTTTAGGCATGATGAAGTAGATATATCGAATTATGTTGAAAATGGAGAATGGGATCTACTCAAAGTTGTAGTAGAAAGACATGAGGTATTGAATGTTTTCTGGAATTTATATATGTTCACATTTGAATAACATATTACCTTATGCTCAATTTAGACGTTTTCAGGATGATTCTGTATATCTATCATCAAAAATATAGTTTTGGTTGAAATCATGAATCGATCACTGTAAGACGAACATTAGAAAACCGGAAGCATATCCTAGTATGAGACTCATCTGGGACCCTGAATCGCGTGACTTCCGGTCTCGCGAACGAACGCTCAACCTATAGATCACTGAACCATTATCCAATTATAGTAATGTCTAATTTCTATTGATCAACAGACTTGTGCAACCTCATCCACCGACATTTAGATTGTTGATAAGAAATGAAATTCTATCTAGTTTAAACGTCTGATTCAATAAACCGTTTTTAATTATTCTATTCACTTTTATCTGCATTAATGTATAATGGCTTCATCATTGAACTTTTAATTCGGAATGGAAACCTAATTATGACATAATCTACCATCGTGAAATGGATTATTTTGTTTTTATCTGTCACTTTGAGTAACGTTGTTGCATTTGTGTGCAGACAGACAACTGGCTTTTCAGTTGTCGTATAACTTCAACCTTTGGTTAGTTTGCGTCTACACAGGAGGTACCTTGTGTCCTAGGGGGGGTGTGAGGAGCCGCGTATGAGATTATCTGGAAGATGAAAAAACAAGAGAAAAAGATGAGCCGACAACTCAGTAAGCACATAGAATAATGCACTTACATGCAATATACGAATAAATAGACAGCAATCAGATATAAAGCCAGCGGGAGATTAAGACAAACAGATAAACGAAACTAGGAGTCGATAGAGTTAAGTTTCGAATGCGTTACAGTCGATTTCGTGTTCGACTGATGTATGAATACGTGCAGATGATTGTGTCGTCTGTAGACGGAAAAGGCATCTTCTTTCCACAAAACAGTCTATTCATTTTCTTTGCAACCATTGTATTTTCACTAATCTGATTTTATTCTCCCTCTTCAGAGTTAGATAAATCCTTTTCGGTTAGTCATTGTGTAGTTAACTCTTTCGGGACAGAATAAAATTTGTTACACATATACATATATTTATCATGGTGTACACATACCTTATTATTTTGAATATTCTAACTTCTGTCTGTTTTGATTGTGAAAGAGAAGTTATATTGAGGGGTGACAAGGAAAATGCTCATTTGAGAAATAAAGTTGGCTTGAATTCTTAATGTTTTATTCACATTAAGAATAAGGTAGTGAATTTCAAAAATCATGCCAAAGAAATAAATCTACATTTGACAAAGTTAAATGTTATCAATATCAGTAAATTTTTGATTCAGTCGTTGATGTTTCTCAACTTTTGATCAGTAAGGAGATAAGATAAGTTTTCGCATAAAACCTACTACTTTGAAAAACAACCAAATCAATATTAATCAGTGGTTTCATCAAATGTCCACTCAGAATTATGTGCAGAGTTCATTTGTGACAACACTTGATGATTATTGTAAAGTACCAATATGTGATCAGTAATTGCGTCAACTTTTTTAATCTTCATTTCCTATTTCATTACAGATATTTTATCCATGCTGTGATGAACCATATCCTGATCTACGATTTACCATTTATATGCGTCGACGTACACTTTATTATTTGTTCAATATTATTTTCCCATGTTTATGGTTAACAGTGTTAAGTTTAGTGAGTTTTTGGTTACCGCCAGATTCCGGTGAAAAAATCACACTTGGTATAACTGTCCTTTTAGCATTCAGTGTATTCATGTTATTGATTGCAGAGAATATGCCGGCTACAAGTGAATTTGTACCTTTAATTGGTAAGTGCATAACTAGCTATTATTATTAATTTTGAAATTCAACTGTCGTGAAGAATTTAAGAAAATGCTTGAATAATATTTTATTACTTACTATAAAAATCAGTAGTATAGAATAAACGGCAAAATATAGTAGATGTCTGTGGGAAATTTTTTTCGCCTTTCCATGAGCTAACATTAAATGGCAAGATGATCCCAGTCAGCAAAGAAATAAAGAGGATACCGAATTTTTCGTTGGTATTCAGTAACACACAAGTGAATTTATTGAACGCTTTGCTATATGGCACCAGATTAGTTAAGTTGTCATAAATTCAAATTCATTGAATATTATTTCTGACACTCAAAGAAATTATATCTCACTTCAAATATCCGAATAAATCAAATATAGTGTTGCCTAGTCCTAAATATAGAATAGCAGATGGTTGAGCGGTAAAAAAGATGTAGAAGGAACTAAATACAATAGGATAGTATCGGTGATTAGCATGTGTTCAATGATTCATGTTTTATGTTGTTACGTTCGGCCTAAATATGACATTGCTCTGTAATTTTATTTTTCAATACCATAAAAAATTACGTACTACCACTAACATAAAAATACATTCATTATCAGTAAAAAGTAAGATAACAGGAAATGAAAACGTCCCACTCATGCCTTTCTTCAACTGCGTTACATATGTTCCCGTTTGTTGTATATAATTTTTTTAATTCAAATGAATAATAGTTTTCTGGTGGTTTTGTTGAGAAGAATTTTTTCCTCAACATATTATAGTAATGATTGATTTTTAAAAAAAGCTACTACTTTTATTGTAGTAGTAGTATATTAGAGATAACTGATATGTGATAACGGTTTGAATAGAAACCGACCAGAGTTTGAATCTTGCTAGTTCTCAAGTATAAAATCAAAACACCTTTTTGGCGAAATTTTAAAATCAGTCCCTAATCTTCTGCAACAGCAGTTAAGCTTTCTACTCTGAAAGTTGAATATTTCTACCATGATGTGATATATTAATTATCATTTCGAAATCTCATACTAATAAATTGACTAGTCACAAAATTTCATCGTCGTGTAAAATGCAATACACAATTGTTTGGTAAACTCCAGAAATCTTATCTTTCTCTCAGTGTCATCTGTTAGATCATTCCCGATTATGATATAATAGTTGTCATCATGGAGTTGAGGAGTTTGTTAAGTTTCATTGATATCATAAATCTATCATTGGTAGAGTAGCATTTGGAGCCTGGAAGCACTAGTAGATTCGCCTTAGACAATGGATTAGGTCACTCAGGATTGTGGATTGATTGCAGTTAGATTGTCGCCTGCGAGATTGTGGATGTGCACTGTTGATGAGTCTCATACTACGGAGCGATGGCTGTCCAGTGCTTCCAGGTTTCCGATAATGATCATCTAACATTGATCGTTGCATAATTTAAAACACGTCAAATGTAATACTTGTCTAATCAATGTCTGCATTGATGTATTTTTCCTATATATATTTTTACAGGTGTTTATCTTACAGTGACAATGGCGATGACATCATTGTCAATTATATTAACTGTCTTAGTATTACACCTTCATCATACTGGATCAAATCGACAACCAGTGCCTAAATATGTAAGAAAAATATTTTTTCATTATATAGCCAAAATATTATGTTTAAATAATGTACAAAGATATCAAATCAAACGGAATCAATCATTGAAAATGGCTAAACATTCAAAATTGATGTTAGATCAAATTAAAAGTCAAATTGTTTTCACTGATAACAACAATGATGATTCTACGAATGCAAATCTGAACATTGATAATAACAATGATTGTTTCATCAACAAAACTCCAATCTCCAAAACTCCATCTCAGTCAAATAAAACTTTGTTATATCATAATTATCTACCATCAGATGTGATCAGATCAACTCGATTAACAGAAAGCAAAAAACCAATAGTATTTTCCAATTATACAGAAAAATATTTCACTACCAATCATGAACAAGATGATTCCACAATGAATGAATCCACCATGAATCGAATGAGTTCACCCGATTTGAATACACTCCAATCGTCAACATTTGAACAAACCCCTGTGAATCAACCTAAAAATATTCATGTTGTTCAAATCGTCACTGATACAAATGACCGGAAATCGAATTCAAACAAAAAATCAACTGAAAAATTAATTCATAGTCGTTTTAAACATTATGAAATGTCATATGATTATCGAACATATTATACTAAATCTAGTGATGATTTAAATGATCATTTCAAGTCAATCAATCCATTGAAAAAGTCTACACCTCATTCAAATAATTATCAACCGTATAAACAAGACGAATTGCGTCTGTTAAAACAATTATCAAATATTCTAATGAAAGCTGAGCAACAACAACAAATCACACAAATTTATTTACATAATTTATGCAAGAAACAATGTGAAGAACAATATATTTCAGATTTGATCAATGAATGGCGTATATTGGCAGTGATTGTAGATCGTTTGTTATTTTGGTTATTTTTAGCAATTGCTGTCATTGCCACTATTGTTATATTATTAATTATGCCTTTATTCAAGCCAACTTATGCATAAAAAATAGACAAGTCAATGATGATTTTGCCATGTAATTATGAATTCTATTCATCTCCTTTTCATTCATTCTTCACTTTTTATTTGATTTTCGAGGTCTATTCATTTTGAATGAGAGTACAGGAATACAATTCATAAATATCTATGTCAGCGTTTAGCAATATGTACCATTTTTCAGTGATAATCGGCAATGTGCTTTCTCCAGCAAATATACAAGCACGCACACACACACACACAACACATTATTCATGATTATCAGTGAGAATATAATTTTATTCGTATCGATTTCTGATTAGGATCATTGGCACTTATACTATGATAACTCAGCGATGTAAATACCTACTTCATTTGACTGTTCTCAATTTTTTTTTATATCTGATACTTTTTTTTTTGTATAAATCAATGATCTTTAGAATTCAACATAAGAATTGTACAAATTAGTTTTGAATTGTAACTTTGTATTTGAAACAAAAAAACATGGAATAAAAAAATAATAGATATCTTTTTGTTTTAAAGATTGACATGTTGAGCAAGAATAAGATGGGCAGGACTTGTTCAGCTGTAGATAAACTTCAGGCATCAAACAGGTTGTGCTTTAATAGATAGCTTTTTTTTGAATTATCGTGAAAGCCAAGGTAGTGAATATATGAGTTTGGAAAACTTATAACGTTACATGCATGTTGTTTTTAAAGGTCTTCTTTGATTCACTTTAACATTGTAAATGTTAAATTGTGAACTTAAGTTAGCTAAATAGTCACATATATATATGTATGAATGTATGAATGTTGAATGTGTATTACAAACATTTCATGTGCTTCTATTATTGGTTGCTCTGGTTGTCAGAAGGACGTCTGAAGAAACTGGGTTTTCATCTCGAGGTGTCATGGCTCTTCTACATGAGGACATTCCAACTTCCAGGTTTGAGTTTAATTGGTTTGAATTGTTTTTTCTCGTTGGCGCTTTTTAATGATTTGGTTTTCTACAGGATGAGGTTGCTGACGCCATGCCCAGTTCTCTTTTATCCGGCCTACGGAACGGCAGTAACCCCAGAAAGGCTCCACAAAGAGTAGGTACATGTATTACTATTTAGTTTCAAAATGTCACTCATCGTGAATTTTATTGAATAATTTTACAGATGAATTTTAAAATTTTAAAATTTAGTTCTAGACAACTCGATTTTCAACTAAGTATGTTTTAATTTCAAATGGTTGAAATTGGTCAACAGGAAGTTGTGGATCGACATTTCATTTAAAATCTTTCTGTATCTTTAATGTTGTTTGTCGACTAGGGAACTACATCACCACGTACCATAGTCTGACAGAGCTTCAAATGTAAGCAACGTTTAAGAATACAAACTGAAAGTTAGCTATTTCATTAGGGAAAAATTTCACTGACATTATTATTGGACTATGTGACTAACATATTAAAAACTGACAAATTTATGAACGGCGTCAGAAACTTCGGATCAATAAACATATAATATATATGTGAGAATCTTGTGTGGCAATAATTAAATTTGTTAAAAAAAGGTGAATCATTATTTATGTTTTTAATTTCTTTACAGAAAGATAGTCTCCAAAAAAAATGTGACAGTATTTCTTATATCATAAGCTTTTCATTAGTTCATAAATTATTGTCATGCGACTTATATCGTCTCTATTTTTATTTTCTGACAGTCTTCCATTAATAGTCTTTTCTACTTACATACAACACTTTTAGCTCATTTAGGTATAGTTGTTACTTTCCATTTATTGGTGTGTGCTGTAGTTTAGTTTTGTATATATACAAAGGGAAACTAAAATATATTAATCATAATTTTGTACTAGTGATTGCCGGTGTTGTATTTTACTTCTTCTGTTGCGTTCGGTTCAAGTTGGCATTGGCCAACCTTCAAACATAGAGTAGCAATGCTCTAATCTTTGTTGTGAATTGAACAGTTTGAGGGCATGACGTATTGATAAAAATTTTCGTAAAACATTAGCAAATTTACACACAGATTGACGTTTATTATAAGAAAATATCTTCAATAAATCCATTAATATGAGTACAGGATTTTTCATAAATTCACTATACACAGTAAATGGTGTTTTGCTGCCTTATTATTCATAACTAATTTCATGTGGTAGTCAAAAATGTTCTTGGTTTTCAATCTAGTTAACTATCTCCAAAAAGCATGTCAAGATTCTCAGTTTGCTAGGTGCCACCGCACAAACGTGTTTAGAAGAAGAATCAATGTAGTTCTACTAAGTAGATATATATATCGTTTACACTTATATAATAGTATACGACTTCTGTTTTTATTTGGAATTAAAGAAATTTTAACTATGAAATAATTCATTGTATCCTATCATACTGATGATTCTTCTGTCGATTATGGTTAAGTTATGCACAAATCAAAAGCTTATAAATCGGTTTGATTGCAAATAATATATGTCATGTACTGATTCTATAATATAGCCTAACAATGAGTAATGTGAAGTGATTCATTTGAAAGTGTTGACAAAAATTTAAAAATTATTTTTTTAAACTATTTGTCTATGATATTTTACCGATTGAGAAGTCAAATCGTTGAATGTAGTCTATAAGCAACATCGGAAAATCTCTTTTTGGTGTAAGCTGGTTCAATATTGTCCCCGATTACTAAGCTTCACAGTCACAGTCATTACTAGTGAGCCTGCCAGCTTGCTGAAAATTTTGAAATGGTTAATCACATCGTAATTTATTCAAGAGAGTTTGATTAGCACTAAAAGACTAGACATGACATCATAACGACAGCTCAGAAACTTATTCTAGTTGAACATAGGTGTCAGACGAGGCTCATAACATTAACACTTTCCCTCTTTTCTGCTGGTTGCCTGGATTATGAAGGCTGTACCATGTGAGGGAAAGCACAGGATACAGCAGACAACTAGGATGCGGTTGGACTATCTGTGCCTCGCGGATAAGAAAAGACAACTAGTGTAGCAGCAACCTCAGAAGCAGTAGGTCTATAAATACGTATAGGAAAAGGCAAGAGCCTTAGAAGCAACGTACGATATAATTCAGATCCCTTTGTCAGAAACTATTACGATCAATTCATTTGGACAAATAACAAAACGACTTTTAACTAAGACAGAAATTAGGAAAAAGGCGCTAGAGGTGGATACGACACAGATTGATGAAATCATAAAACTGAATCACGAGATAAGCATTAACTTGTAACCCTTAAGAATAAAGGAAAAGAGGTAGATTAAGAAACACACCATAGCGCGAATCGGAGACAGACATGGAGTAAATGAATAGAAATCCGATGGAACTTGGAAGGAAGGCCCAGGATAGAATAGACTGGTGAATGCCGATCAGCTGCCTATGCTCGATTAGAGGTTTCAAATGTAAGTAAGTAGGGTAAGTAAAAGACTAAACAAATATAAAATAAGTCACCATTCAATGATCAGTCAGTTGTACGTTAGACCAAATACCACATAACACCTACTTAAACAAATCTATTCATTTAATAAAAATGTACATTTAAATTTTTATTTGACAACTAAATTCTTTTGTTAATTTATTCGTATTCATAAAAATAATGCCAAAAATATTTGATAAATGACATTTAAACCAAAGAATGTGTTGTGTCAAATTTTAATAGTTGGATGAATTTGTTGTTTTTTTCAGTCTTAAATAAAAATGTAACGAAATTTTATTTAAATATGAAGTAGACAATGGTTTTATGTTTTTATGGACAAAAATTCAAATCTACACTCTTTCAAGATGAAAAGTTAACTACTGTAGAATGATGAAATCATTTCAAATTTTTGATCATATAATTTGTCCAACTTTCATTGTTAACTAACGGAAATTGACATTTTTAATGGAATTTTGACGTTCACTAGTGATGTTTAATCATAGGACGACCATGTGAACTGCTAACCTACCCCAATGTAATGTTTGACAAATATAGATTAATGCTATACTCGATAAAAATGTTACAAAGTTGAAAGTGTTTTTTTTTATTTCCTCATAGCATTGTTAGACAGGAGAAGTTATATCATATGTCCCATAATTGGTAAAAAGCATTTTAGGAAACATTTTCTATGATTTCGTTATACATTATTCATAAAAATAAATGACAATATATATTTTATAATTTATCAGTGTCTAATGTTAATAACCAACTGAAACTAAGTTGATTATCATCTCTGAATTAGATGAGATAAGGAATCTTACATAAGAACTATTATTTTATGTCATTTTGTAGGAATGAATTTACCAGAAAAAGGTAATATATATATGTATATATATGTTTAGGAAAGCAATTTGTAATATGCTGAAATTATTCTTTATACTTCCAAGGCACGTATAGATGACATTCAAATGGATTTGATTTTGAGAAAGTTTATAAGAATGATCTGAATGTTGTGTACGCTTCAACTATGAAACAACTCTACCTTCACTGAAATTATGAATCGACCAATGTTAGACCGCCATTAGAAATTTGAAAGAACTGTAGGGCCGTTTCGTCCTAGTATGAAATTCATCAGCAGTGGGCATCCATGACGATCGCACACCAAAATCGAAACAGGCAGCTTGAGTCTTGTTAGCGAATGCTAAATGTCAACATCACTTAGCCAGCATTTATTGGTGTTATTGTCTAGCTTCAGTAAGTACACAATATTGCACGACCTCATCCAGTGCTGTCGATAGGTAACTGCTTCACATCTCTGAGAATATCCACATGAAGCTAGTTATAAGTGTGTACATGATAATTGTCATTATAAGAAGCTCTGTGTAAGTGGAAAGGACAAGAATTGCGTAAAGCACCCAACTGCATCATGAGAAAAGCCCTCAATCGGAACCCTCAAGGTCAAAGGAAAGGAGGAAGACTGAGGAACATATTACACCGATAAATGAAGACAGACATGAGAAGAATGAACAAAAATTGGACAGAACTGGAAAGGCAAGCCTAGGACAGACTGGGTTTGAGAATTCTGGTCGGTGGGAGTGGGACGGCCAGTTTAGCAGTA